GAGGGATGATCAAGGATATTGATGCTATGGGCTGAATCATCAGGTTTAAGACAGGTACTGTTTTGTCTGCTTGAGCTACACTCTAATGCTATAGATACTCATAGATCTGTTCCTTCCCTGACCTTGTTAAATTGCTGTGTCAGCTCAGCAAAACTTCAAGCAGAGAAAGGTGAGAGATAGGGAATGGAATGGAAGCCAGTAATAGTATCTCTGGCTCTGTCAACACGTATTAGAAACCATTGCTTATTTTCTAAACATTTCCCCTTGATGCACTAAATGTAACACTGCTGATGAGAAGAAGAGCACCCAGAGCTTTCAGGCAGGTCTGCTCGTGTCTGTCTGAGGCAGTAGTGGGTTTTGTGCTAATCTGTTGGTGCTGGTGATGAACACAGTTCATCGCTAAAAGCTCTGCTGCCAGACCACTCTTGTGGGGGTTTCCATTTCATCGGCTTCTGCCAGAAAGGGGCTGGATGTCAAACCACCCCCAGCAATGGCTGGGTGAGTCAGAGTGGCTTTGTGTGGGGGCTGGAAAGTCCACTGCTGACTGACCCCTCTGCTGTGGATGGGAACTTCTGCACTGGGGTTTCACACTTACCCCAGTGATTGTCAAGGAAAATGGTAAACCCACGGGGGTTTAGCCACTGCCTGGTGGCTCTGCCGTCACCGCTGAGGGTACAGCGGAGGTTCAGGTCCTCTCCTTCCTGTAGGGTTATGGTTTCACTGCCAGCTCCTGGAAAATCCCCTGTCACAGAGAGGGGGGAAAATAACACCCATTACAATGTGATGTGAAGTAAAGTGTCGATGTTTTACGTGAAGCAGTAAGTCAGCTTTCCCTTTCTCAAGAGTGTAAAGGTGAGAAAACTTGTCTGTACAATTGTACTGATAGAATTAATTCGCAATCATCAGATAGATCACCACAATCACTAGGTAGGACCAGCAGTTCATTCCCTCTGTCTGCCAGCAGAGCCAGATGTAGTCACTAGATGCTATTCCATGAGTCAATGAAGAATTGATAGCACACCCCTTAACGCATGTGTGCTCCCCATATGAATCAGTTTTTGTATTCCTTATTCTTTTCTGGAGCTGCTGAACCCAATTGGCAAGTGTGTGAATGATTGACAGGTCTGAGAATGGGGCTTTTTTTCTGCAGGAAAGGTAATGCTGCAGCTGCTTTGATGCACAAACCTGGTCTGGCATGGGTTACTGAAATAGAATTTCACTCACTCTTCCCAGTTCATTTTAGAGAGGAGCTCTGGAATGTGTTTTTCTCAGCTTATTCACAAATACATAATACACTTTGAAAATATTTGATGACCCGGAATGAATTGCTTTCTCCAGAGATAGCATGCCCTGGAGAAATGGCTAAGACCAATGCCCTGGTCAGAGTTAAGAAAATAGGCAGTAAGATGGTTTTATTTTTCATTCCTGTTTTAATCTTATTTTTCAGGTAGCTGTCTGCTGTGAGTTCCTACTGCACACATGAGCACTGTGGTCTGGGGAAATGAATCCTCCTGGGCTTCAGGAAAGCTTTTCATTTTCTTAAAAACATTTTAAAATGTAACAACTATGAAGCCATTTTAGGGCATTCTTATTGGACCTGATCTTTGATGCTGAAAGCAGTTTCTCAGGTTGTTTCGCAGGATGCATGCAACCTGTGAGAGGGAGAGATGGCCTTGTAGGGGTTCCATTTGTGAAGGCCTGTGTCACCAGCAGCGTGCTGTAGAGGAGCACAGAGGGCCTCGTGTGTGGTTTTCCACAGTGCTTTTCTATATTTTGCACAGTGGCTGCGTAGTGGCTCTTTCCTGTTGCTAGCAGCAATGTGGGGTCTTTCAAGTTGCACCTTTTGAAGTTAGAAAACAAAAAAAAATGGGGGAGGTTGCTTGTTCTTATTTAAAGCAGAAATGAGCAACCCCCAGAATGGAGCATGCATGTAATTTCCATTTGAGACTATGGCTTCACACGTCAAATTTCTCTCCCCTTATGGGGCAGCTTTGCACAGCTATGGTCTTCAAGCCACTATGCTCTCTGGAGTGCAATCACTGCGGGGCAGGGGATGCCCCTGTGCCAGATCCAAAAGCCAGGTTTTTATGCTATGTGGATCCCAGGTGTCTCAAGTACCTGGAAAAATGTCTGCCATCAGGTGTGGCAATACATCCATCCACCTTAGCGAGACAGGCCAGCAGTTTCTTGCTAGAAATTGCACAGAGCAACAGAGCACAATGGTACGTGCCTCTGCTATTATTCTAGCCAGCAGAAAACACATACACTGTTGCAGTGATGAACACCAACTCAATCATTTCAGAGTTATCTTTAACACTGTCGCTTATAGAGACATCCTGTTCAACCAGTTATTTTTGACCTGTGGCTGTTGATGTATGAATGGGAGTCTGAGCTACTTCTTGAGGTGCTGTGACAGATGGCTGAGAGCAGCTAGTGGGGCTCAGCAGGTGCAAACCTGTCATACAGCAGGATCTGGCAGTGCTGGAGAAGAGGGGCTGTGCACCCAGAAAGAGGGTGCTGCTGGTTTGCAGCAAGCTGAAAGGGCATGGCAAGAACTATTTCAGCTGGAGTGTGACTGACAGATTCTTAAGGCCCATGTTCTGTTAAACACAATCAATGGTAATAAAATATCCCGTGTGTGCTGTGTTTAAAAAAATGCTTTGTTGCTGTTTAGACAGACTGGATGTGGCCTCTGTAATGTCTTTGTGTGTGAGATTATTACTATAGTATCAGCAATAGCACTGCTACAGTTTCTGCTTTAGCATTTAAGAAGGGAGAGACTATTAGGCCAGCACCAGAGTTGTCATTCAGAGAATCCTGAGCTGTAGAAAGCTGTTTAGCCTCTTTCCTCACTGAAATCTTTCCATATTTGTCGTGGGCAAATGTGAACCTCACACGCTCTCCCATGTATGAAAGAGATGAGCAAGGTAGGATAAGATGCATCCTCTAGTCAGAGTGAGGAGGCTGAACATTTAAAGTACTTTTCCTTTTCAGAGTACTTTGAGTGCTTTCTAAATTACTCTGATTTATTATATTAGCCTCTTTTTACAAAAATATGTGAGCAAGTGCATATACAAATATCCAAGCTGTGGAAAGTAAGCCGTAATCTGCTGCTCATGTTTAAGAGAGACTCTTTCAGTTTCCCATCTCAAGCATGCTGCCAGCTGCTGGGAGATGAGTTGGTCTCACTGATCCTAGGCTTAGGAATCCACTGGAGCTCAGCACCCTGTCTGTTCCACAGCTTTGGAAGCTGGGTGACAACACAACACTGTCAGTATGAAAACAACAGCAGCAAAGCTGTGTTGTGTGTAATGCTCTATGTATGGCTCTGTAGATGGAGTTCTCCAGGCTGGGTCCCTTAAAAAGAAAGAAAGGTAAAAGTGCATTGCTTACCTTGCAGCAGGAGCAGAGCTGCGACATGCAGCACCATGGTGAAAGTCATGTTGTGGTGGTGGTGTGGGCTATCTGCAGACTTCCTCTCCCTGTCGGGTCCCTTTTCAGCACAGTGGGAGCAGATTTACCATGACTTCATCTCTGCCGGGATCTCTGCCTCCTCTCCTTTTTTCTACAGTTCCATTTTCATGTTTCCTATGTGCTGATGACTGCTGAGAAACCAGTGACCTCATGGGTCCCTAAGTGAAACTGGTGGGTGACAGGAGTGGGGGCACCTCACCCTGCGCACTTCAGCTCCATCTCGTCCAGCACCCATGCAGGGGAGAGGGGAGGAGCTGTGGCTTGGGGTGAAGACTGAAAGAAACACTGGCCTGGGTTAAGCTGCTGCAGCTATCCTGTAGGATTTAAATCCAGTGGATGGGCAGGCCCCCAACAAGGCAGAACATCTTTGGTGGGTGCTGCTGTAGTGCAATCGTCACAAGGTTGCTTGAAAACTCAGTTTGAATCTCTGGAAAAACAGTCTTGCTCTGCTTGCAGGAATGCTGACAAACAAGCAAGGTAATTTGCTGTGTGGTTTGTAGCTCCATGGGGAGCAAAGAGCATCAGTGAGGTGCCAGTAGGACACTTGGATTGCTCCTTAGCAGAGGTGTGGGGCAGGGCTGAATGCATTGAGGGCACCCAGAGGAGCAGTGGGTTCCCAAGTCCCATTGTTCCTTCTCGGGCAAGCTGGGGCACAGCAGAGCTCTCTTTGTCTCCTAAGTGGTGATGTGCAGGAAGAGCACAAGACTCACCCAAGCCTGCTGTAGGCAGAGCCCCTTCCTGTGAAGCACCTGTGTGTGCTGCCTTCCAGCAAGGCTTCAGCACATCTTCCTTTGGCACCTTTCTGCAGTTGCCTAACGCTTTGCAAATGGTGAATACTGTCCAAGTGAGCTGGCTTTAATAAGATATGAAATGTGGTATAAAATCAGTTTGTGTTTGCAGGACATGGGTTTGAGTGAGCTGGACAAAATGGTTAATTAGAAATACATTATGCATTTCATTTTTAATTTATTAGAACCTATTTCCATTAAATTTTCAGGTGTGTGGAAGTGTTGCTCTGTTAGCATGTGCTTGATAAAAGCTGTGGCTTTAACCTTGACATGATCAGTTTCATGAGAAAACAGAGCTGTATGCTGTAAAATTCAATGCAATTAGTTGATCTGAATGAAAAGTCTGACTAGCTGATAACACTGCTGGATTAAAAGGTCCTAAAAGCATTTTATAAAGGTAGACATTGCTTTTGTTTAAAAGTTGTGTTTCCAGTGCCATGCATCCAAATGTGACAATGAAGAAACTTTGAGGGGAAAAGCCATGGAGCAGTAGAGATGACACTGAGCCATCTGCCTCCCACCCGGAGGGAAAACCCGGTCCCTGTGCAGCAGGAAAAGACTTGAGAGGGTTTTGTGCCATCTGCTGTCAGATAAACAAACTTCATCTACAGTGAAGGGAGGGGAAAAGAGCTCAAGTTCCCCCTTTCTCCTCCATGTTTCAGCAGAGCAACATTTGAATAGGAAGGTCAAGGTGTGGGAGCACGACATCTTTATTAAATCATCTACGAGCCACTTTTGTTCGACTTCAGAGAAATCCATTTAATGTAATAAGCAAATTAAAATGCAATGGTTGTTTTAATAGTTGTTAGCACTTGAGATTAAAAACAACCAACCAACCCTCCCCCCCCAAAATAAAAAAATACAGATGTCACAGGTAATTACAGCTATTTTTGGCAATACAATTATTGTTTTTTTAAACAGCAAACATTTTTCTCAAATAAATACGATCTGCTCACACTAGAAAACATAATAAACAGAATGGTACAATAGGTTTAAAATGAAAAAAAAAAAATGTATCCACTGGTAACATCAAGTTTTAAGAACTGTCCACAGAGAAACTTCAGAAAATACATTTTAATGGGAAGGAACAGAAAGGAGATGGCTGTGTGTTTTGTTGTGTCGTGTGGATGGGTCACCATTATTCCCCAGGCAATGTGTATTTGGGGAAGTGGTGAGAGCTGAGTGGCAATTTGGAGCATATGCAACCGATCACAGGAACTGCTGTGTTCTTTTTTCAATCATTCACCATTTTAAGTGTGTTTGCTACCACTATCATTTCACATCTGTATTTTAAGTCCAAATAATTTCCCCTCTGTTTAAGTGCTGGGCAGCAACCTTCTAGCAGCTCCTCTCCTCTCTGTTTTGCAGAATTACTGCCTGTGTTGCTTGTGGGAAGAATAATCTCTAAAATCTCTAAACAACTGCTTCTCAGGTGATGTTAATTATCACCTGCCTAATAAAGCTGATACCAGGAGCTACCAACAGAGGGGAGGAGGCGGCTCCTGCCATCAGCTGGGCTTTCTGAAGCTGAGTGAGCAAAAAGAGAATGATACTTCTGTCTGATGGTATCACATACATCCTCAGTTTGCGTGAGTAGGCAAAGCTCTGTTGACGGGAGTACAGGGCATCAATTCACACTTGCTGAGAACCTGTCCTGTGTGCACGGGATTTAATCTTTTGGCTGCAGCTACCGCTGCACTAAATGCAGGGAAAATTCGTGGAACTTCAGATGTGGCATGTGCATTAAATGAGAAATGCAGAGCTCAAGCCAGCAGGTAGGTGCACACTGCAGTGTGTTGCCAGCCTCCTCAGCACAGGGATATTTTGTCCAGAGATACAGGCCCTGTGCAAAGCCTTGCTCAAATCCTAACTTGGTGAAACATACCAGTTCTTCCCCGCCCCCCTCAGTGCCATCCCATCAGCAACTGCCATGCTAGAGCTTGATTCTGTGCTTTGATTCTTGTATTTTTCTAGCACAACCCTTGGATTATGCTTTATGGAAACACTGGAAGAACAATATTCTTGGCAGGTTGCCAGTTTCATTCCTTAATTGGGAAGAGTGGGAGAAATCTAGAAGCTGCTGCCCGCCTTCTATACCCTAATTAAACTCCTGGGATCTGATGCAGCTCCCAGTGATGGCAAGGAGAAGACTTGCACCTGCTTTTGGTAGCTTAAGCCTAACATTCTTCTGTGACAGAACACTGAAGCAACATTAAATACACATTAATGAGCAGCAATGGAGTGAAAGTGAAGCAGCAACTGTTCTGTTTTCGTAACATTAATTAAAAATGGAAAAGGAACATTTTTTTTTTCTTTTTTTCTCCCAATAAGCCTCATCAACATGACATTATTTAACACAAAACCCCTACAAGAAATCAAAATGCTGGAAGAAAGTAAGATTTTCTTCCTGACATTCTTGACACCTGAAAAATCTAATGTGAGATAAGACTACAATTGTCAAAATACTTTCCCAAACATCCAAAAATATAGTTTTTTAAGAAGAGAGTATTTTAACATATTTTACCTTCTCGAACAGAACACTTTTTGTTTTGCATTACTTACTATATGCAAAGATCAGCTAGTATACTATTCAAATTGTGCATTCAGGTTTTGTTCCCTCTCTGTTTCACGCTTCTGTCTGAATAAACTCCGTAACGTTGCTTAACTGCAGTAGGACTTAAGCAGCCTCCACTGCTTTGCATCACGCCTTGCTGACCCACAGCATGAAACCAAACGCCATCCAGAGAATCACACGCTCATCAGTAACCAAATCAGTTGTCGTGTGATTGTCGCCTCTTCAGTTTTAAATAAACTCTTTGCAAATTTGCAGTGAGTAAGCTTGGAGGAAAACAAGCCAGAAACGCTCTTCAAAACGTCTGTACACAGCCAAGAAGAGTTTAAATTATAGTTAAAAACTAAAGTGACAGCAGTATAACTGCAGAGAAGCAGTTCTTTTCTGTCATCTCGTAAGTTATTTCCCTGACTTTTCAGTATACATCCCTGGTATCGTAATGCACTTATGAATGGCCAACCATGTATTACAGTCATAAATGTATAAATAATAGATACTGATATGCATTGTGACAATGTACAATATTGCACAGGATGAGCTCTCTGCTGAGTCAACATCTGTACAGCATCTGCTGTGTTTGCCCTGGCAAGCTCAGGATCAGCTCATTAAAGCGGAGACAAAGCTGAGTTCAGCCCCTTAAGATCCTTTACATCACAGCTGCAGAGCGTTTTACCTGCTTTAGAAACAAGGTGTTGTTGCAATTTACCACTTCTTATTTGTTCTGACTGCTGGAAGTGCAGCTACATCTTATCCAATGCAAGGTGAGGCCACTCCTGGCCCAAAGAAACTTGCTCCAAATCAAGTCTGATCTTGCTATGAACAATAAGCCTTTGTTAAAGTTGGCCTCTATAAACTTCTGTGCAAATGTTTTAAATAAGGATATTAGTGCTTTCTACAGAGGGAAACCCGGATAGAAGAGGGGTACCCTAGGATGCCAGAGTATCTTTTCTGGTAAATAGGATTATATTTTATGGGCATACTCTGAATGATGGTCCAAATGTAGCCAGCCCTGGGAGCACAAGTGAAAGCAATTTACCTGTGAGACCAGTAGAGGTGAAGCCTGGTTCCACCCCTCCCTAATCCTCATTTAAGGGCTAGCTGCCCTAAGGGAAGGGTTTCTACCTGGGGATTCTCTCTTTTGGAACATTTGGCAAGCTGTGATCCTTGGGACAAGTAAGCAAATCTTTCTTTCTTTACTGGATTGTAGCTATCATCTTTTTGGGTAATTTAGGCCTGCTGTTGCTTTTATCTACGCCAAGGAAGGAGTATGCTCAAGTCTTCTTTTGTCCCATGTAAGCACGTTTTTTGTACCTTCTCAAAGTAAGCTATAACAAACATCTGTAAGAGCATTCTGAAGACCTAGCTGATTAGCTTCAGAGCAGCTTTCTTTAAGTCACTTAGCATTGTAAACTCTCATCTATGGGGTGTTGTAGCATTCTCTTCTAAAGCAGCTGGCGTTGGCATCTTGCAGGAGAAGGCTGCTGCACTATGAGGACTGCATTGCTCTGTTTGCTGCAGAACTTGCTGGGATTTCAAAAGCTGTAGGTCCAGATGGAAGCCCTTCCCTTCTCCCAAAAGCTAACCCTTCCCTTACTGGAATGTAGAACAAAGCATACTGCTCCTGAATTTCAGTGCCCTGATTTTTCAGCTCTGCTTTGTCTTAATGACAGATGGCACTTGGAAGGAGAGCACACAGCAAAGGCTGAATTTCAGTGCTGTTTTGAGTTTGTTACTCTCTGCAGAAAGCTGCTTGGTGCAGAACCTCACCAGGGCTGGCAGAAAGCTGTTGTTGTGTAATGACCAGCACGAAATCTTAGTAAAGGCAGAGCCCCTTTTTCAGGGTCTTCTAAGGGGGCTATAAATGACAAAGACACAAATGCTTCATGCTATGTCTGTGTACAAGAGTGGATTTCAATCCTCTAAATAAAGAGGGGAACAAAACCACTTCATAAATCCTCCATGTTTGATTGGAAAAGGGTTATTCCATCTCCACTTAAAAGAAACAGTGCCTGGTCCTTGTTCGCCATAATGCCCTCTTCTGATGTGCAATCTTCATCAGTAAGTGCTGTGAAATTTAGCACTTCTCCTGATGCAGATCAGCATCCCACAGCCTTTGCATCAGCAGTGCGCCCAGCACAGCGCCCAGCACAGGGCTGGACCAGAGGAGAGGAGCATCTGGTGCTGCCTGTGAGGCAGTGCTGACCTCTTGTTCCCTGCTGGTGGTGGAGTGCCCTCTGAAAGGTGCCAAGAACCTGGGGGCTGTGAGTGAGGAGTGAGCACGTGGACCTGAGCAAGCCTGCTACTGCTCTGCAGAAAATAGCAATGAAAAAGCCCCTCCTGAATGCTGGACTTTCACACAGTGCTAGCTGTTACTGGTGTGGTGTGGGAGGCAATGGAAGTTACTGGTGTGATCAGAGCTCCATTCATGGTGGGGAAACCTACCTGAGCTACTGACTGTACAGCCTCATTGCAGTGCAAGAATTTCAACCTATATTTTAATATTTTCACCCCAATCACTCCCTTTTGTGTTTGCTTAGATGTACGTGAGAATTTTGGCATGTCTCTGGCCATGTAAGATATGCTAGAACAGCTGTTTGTGTAATCCACGTAACATTATGACTATTTTTCCACTGTTCAATATACACAAGAAAGAAGAGACATTCTCCAACGCTTGGAAAGGCTGTGGGTTTTCCTTGCTCGTGTAGCTTTGCTTATTCTTGTAGTAAGGTTTCTCTCCAGTTAAAGCCTCCAGTTGGTCCGTGTGTCAGAGGGAGGATGGGGGGATCTGTAAGCTGCCAGACACCTGTATCTCCTAGTTCTTCACACGAACAAAAACCCAAGTATGGAATCTGCATGAAGAGAGAAGGAAATGAAAGCAGTAAGCAGGGATCGAGCTGTGCAGGCTTAGAACAGCTGCACTGTGTGCCCAGCTGCAGGCGAGCATCTGATCCCCCTGCTCTGTTACAGAAGTGTCACATCAGATAAAGCCTCTTTAACCAATCTGCTTTACCCTCCTGACTTCTGAAGCAGATGAAACTCAGCAATGGGCTGAATGATCAGGTGAGAGGAACAAAGTGTCCTCTGCCTGGCTAAGCAGGTTGCAAATTTCTTCTCTCTTTTTTAAAGCCAGTGAGCTTTACCCCTTGCTGCTAATTACCTTTCGGACCATCTGTACGAAGTCCTTGGAGTTCTGTGGCGAGAGCCCTTGGAGCTGGCAGGTACAGGCCTCCAGGGAGGATGCGTGTGCCACTATCAGGATGTTGTTTCCTGCAACAGTGAGAAATGCAGGCTGAGGTGTGAGACTGTCCCCAGCTCTAGGGACAGTGCCTGAGATGGAGCTGACCATTAGAAATGTTCAGAGCGGGTCCTGTTCATTATATGACAGCACACTAAATTAGTGTATGCAGGGAAGGATGTGGCTTATCAACACAGAGCACTTCTCAATTTTTGGGATCAGTTAGCTCAGCGCTATTTCATTTTGAAATGTCTGGTGAGATTCCAGCTGTCTTGCACGTGCTTTTCTTCTAACTAAAACTTAATTCTGATTAAAGCACTTGGATGGATTACTTCAGGCTTCCATTTCCAAGACCCCTGACAACACAGTGCTGCCAAGGCTTGTGGGCAAACACAAAAAGAAAAGGTTGAGAGTGGAGCACTTACCTTTGCCTTTACATTCACTGATGATTTCTTTCGTTACTTGGTAGCTTCTACTTATGTATGTATCATAAGATTCAGAAACCACTAACTTGCTGACAGGAATATGAGGTCTGTGAGCAAAACAAGTATGGTAAATTAGAAGAAGCATTAGAAGTGCTGCTTATGATTCATCAGAAAGTATATGTTCTTTTAACTCTTCTAATCCCCTAGACACCCAGAGCTCAGTGTAAGGATTGCTATGATGGATTTTCATGCTGTTATGCAAGGAAGAGAGCTAGCTGTTCCTTCATCCAGTGACCTGCTCTGTCTGCAGGAATTACTGCAGTGATGGGAGATGGAGCAGGGGACATCTCTCAGTTCCACACAAGAACAGACTCTTCTCTCATGCTGAGAGCATTTGTCATTTTCTTTTTGGAAGGCAGATGTGTTCAGAAGCTGAGATTCCTGTGATCCAGCTATTCTGCTATGTGGGAGCCATTTTATACCCTCCCAGGGATAAATACAGTGTAAAGCCCTCTATTTAGATAGCCAGGCATATTGGAATTCTAGCTGCAGATCAAAAGGACACAACTCTAATGACTCTATGGAATAATTAGGAATGAAAAATATCAGGGTGTTTCTGTTTTATTTTTCTTCTTGTTTTTTTTTTTTTTTCTGTTGCTTTTTGCAGTTTCAGCTGCTTATTTCACTTGAACATCCTTACACAGTTGGCTGCACTGGGACTCCGGGAAACACCAGCAGTTCTGGTGATATCATAACCACAAAAACCCAGAAACAACGTGTTTTGTCACCAAGCCCATTTAGGTGGAACTCCTGCATGTGCATCTTTGTGTGTGCTGTGAAGGTTTTGTTTCGATCTGAGGTTGCTCAGCCCATTATCAGGCTCATCCTAAAGTAGCAAGGGCCGGTGTGTCTGCCAAGCTCCAGCGATGCAGGTAGTGAGGTGCAGTGGAAGGCTGGAGCCCTGCGGCCTCTGGGGAGTTTCCTTCTTTGTGGGAGCTCTGTGAGCCTGGCTTGTATAAAGGAATCCTAAATTTGAGAGTAGGAAGCCCAAACGGATGATCTTGTCTATTCTTTGCTGCATTATGATTTTTTTGCTAGGTTTTATTTAGCCTTTCTCTGTGCAGTTTACAATAAAAAGCATTTGTGTGTTGGGCTGGAGGGCACTGTGGTGGAGGAGCTATGTGGGCAGGAGCTGGGGATGTGGCACCAGGACTGAGCAGCACAACTATTGGTGAAAGATCAGTGCTGTTTATCCATTTGCCATTCAAATGCGTTTTCAAGCAGATGGTTATTTTGTTTACTTTCAGCAATCACTTTTGGGGTTGAAAACTGAGAAGACTCAAGTCAGGAACCTGCAGAATTTTGCACTAAAAATATTTCAGATATAACCGCTGAGAAGTGATAACTGTTTTGTGTTGAAGCTTTTTGGTGGCAGACCTCTGAATGCTGATGATGCAGGAGACCCTAAGTTCCTGACAGATGTACACGTGCTCCCCAGGATGATATGAAATTCACAGTTAAGATCCATCACCATGCTAATCAGGATAGACAGACAAGCTATTTTCCCTGGGGAAGGGCAGGGTAGGCATTGCTGAAGCTGTGATGCTATTCAGTCCATCAGTGAACCGAGCCAGCAAAACTACTTCTGTTGTTTCCTCTATACTCCAAAGGTAGGGCTGTGTGGCTCTACCTGAGCCTTAGCTCCTACATTTTAGGAAATGAATCAAAACAAAAAGACTTTGAGGGTTTTCTAGTCTCTGCCAGCCATGCTTAAGTTTAGAAATGCAGCAGTGTCCCTCTTTGAAAACAAACCCAAAAAGCAATCCATGCCCCCCCCC